ATTCCATTGTGTGAATATACCACAGCTTCTCTATCCATTCGTTTGTTGATGGGCACCTGGGTTGTTTCCAACTCCTTGCTATTGTGAACAAAGCAACAATAAACATGGGAGTGTATCTCTTCCTTCCTTTCTTTCTTTCTTTCTTTCTTTCTTTCTTTCTTTCTTTCTTTCTTTCTTTCTTTCTTTCTTTCTCCTTCCTTCCTTCCTCTTTTTTTTGTTATTTCTGTTGCTATGGTCCATCCACTTCCCTTTGGTTTCTCTGTGTAAAGGACTTCTCTTAAAAGTTCTTTTAGGTCTCATTTTTCACACATTCCTTAAGTTCTTTTTTTTTCTGCAAAGGATGTGATTTCTTTCATATTTGATGGAAACATTTGCTGGTACAGGATGCTGGGTTGGCAACTGTTTTCTTTCAACTTTCTGTATATACTATCCCATTGTTTTCTTGCTTGCATAGTTTCTGCTGAAAAATCAGAACTTATTATAATCCTTTCTCCTTTGTAGGTGACTTTGTTTTTTTATGCTGCTTTCAGCGTTCTAGCCTTATCTTTTATTTTGGAGAATTTTACTATAATATATTTTGATGTTTTCCTTTTTTAGGTCCAGTCTATTTGGTGTTCACTGAGCTTCCTGAATGTGCATTTCCTCATTCTTCATAATACCGGGGAAATTATCTTCTAGTACCTCTTCCACAATTTTCTCAGTGATTTCCATATCCCTCTCATATTGCGGAATTCCAGTCATACGTATTTTATACCTTTTGATGTCATCCACATGATTCTAATGTTTTCTTCATTTTCTTTATGTCTTATCTCTGATTTTTCTTGTAATTTGTTTCTGTTGTGATTCTTGCCTTCCAGTTCACTGATTCTCTGCTCCATTTCTTCTGCTCTACATTTTTGTTCTTCAAGTGTGTTGGAGAACTCTGCCATTTCAATCTTAATAATCTTAATTGCATTTTCATGTATTTATGTTATTTCTAGTATTGTGTTGGTGGTACCCTCCTATTTTGTGATTTTTTTTAAAGTTTTTGTACCTCTTTATATAGTTTCAATTCTTTCTTCCATGTTTTGCATTTTCTTTCATATTTCTGCAAGTTCCTCCTCATCAATATATTTCTCCTGGCTCCATGTGCCTGAAGCATTTGCTTTCTTACTGGTCTCCATTGTTTCTTTCATCATTTGTGCTCTCATTCATAGCTGTTTGAATATATCATCTGACTTCTTGACTCTGGGATACTCATGAGGTCTCTGATATTCTCTGCTTCTTAATTTGTTTTTTCACAGTGTTTGAAGCAGTCTGATGCTTTCTTGACCTTATGTGAAGTTTTCCTTAACAAGTGTTAGGTCATTTCTGTTGTGTTGTGAATGTTTTTAGTGCTTCTTTTTTTCCCCTTTTAAAAAATAATGTTTCTAGTTAGTTGCCAACTTAAAATGTTCAGTGTATTAGGTAAGCCATTCATTCTATGTCAGTCTGTTCTGGGAAATTTTGCCTTTCCTAAAGTTTTTGAGGTTCTTTCTGTTCTGCACTGCAGCCCTGTAGGAATCTTGTCTTGATGTAGTCCCCTGACACCAACTCTATTGTCCTCCTTCATATATGAAGTGACTGAGTGGTTTGAGACCAGGTGCTCTACTCAAGCAGTTTCTCATGCACCCTTTTCTCCCGGAGCTTAATATCTTCCTTTTTTCTCTAGAGTGGAACAAGATTAGATATTAGGGCCAACAGTTCAAGCAGCTTCTGTGTAGGTGGTCTCCAGTTAGCCCACTCTCTTGCAGAGAACTAAGAAAATTCTTTCCTCTGATTGTATTTCTATACTAAAGTCACTTGTCCTGTTTAGTCCCTGGGATGGCCCTCTGCCTCAGAGACAGGGATTCCCAGATTGAGGGAGCTATAACCCCAAGAAAGTCTCATTCCTGTCTCCCCAGAAGCAATGGAGAATGTTCACTATCAGTACAAGACTAACTTCCCTCACATTTTCTCCTGCAGTTTAGTGACTTCCTTTGTCTCTGGTGAGGCAGGAGATCAGGGCTGCCAGTTAAAGCAGCTTCTGTGAAGGGAGTCTCAAGTGAACTTTCTCTCTCTCGTGCTCTCTCTCAGAATTTTAAGGAAATTATTCCCTCTGCTTTTAGTTCTGTATACTAAAGTACTTTGCTATGTTTGTCCCCTGGGATGGTCCCAGAGCCATGGAGGCAAGTATTCCCAGATTGAGGGACCTATAGCCCTAGGGATGCCTCAGGCTTGTCTCCCTCCCAGAAGTATTATATTTAAAGTAGTTAGAAATTTAAAAGTGAGCCCTTGAATAACAGTCATTTGGTGACATGAGCCTATGTCACCATGTTATTTAAAGCACTTAAGATGTGACAGTTGGGCCTCTAGGAGTAACAGTTGGTTTTGGGTTGGAAGCCTCTTATTTAAAGGAGTTAAGATCCGAAATGTGTGTCTTTTTGAGTGAAGGTCTATTGGGGTTTAGTGGTGTCTTATTTAGAGTAGTTAGGAACCAGAAGTTGGGCCTTTTAGAGTAATTGTTGGTTTGGGGCTGAGAGATCCTTATTTAAAGTAGTTAAGAACTAGAAGGGGACCTTTTCAAGTAACAGTCAGCTGGGAGCAGGGTGTCTCTTGCTCATCACAGCTAGTAGTTGGAAAGGCTGAGAGTCAGCTAAGGCAAGGACAACCATCAACCAGGTAAATTGACAAAATGACTTACACAATGGACTCTAGTGTGCCAGAAAGTTTGGGGATAGCAAAGGATACAACAAGGCTCCGATCTGTTTTCATGGGGTCTCTATGGGTCATACTCAACTTAATGACACTCAACAACAACAAAAGGACTCAGAAATTGAGGCTTTTAAAGTAATTTATAGTTTATTTGGGGCTGAGAGACAAATAAAACAAGACCAGAATGTGGGCCTTTTTTAGTAACTGTAGGTTGGTGGCATAACAAGAAAATGGAAACAGCCCAGATGTCCAACCGCAATCAAATAGATTGAGAATTTATGGTACATTCATACAATGGAATACTACGCAACATGCAGGAGCAATGATTTTGTAAATTATTACCTAACTTGGAAGGCACTGGGGAGCATTATGGTGAGTGAACTAACTCAGTTCCACAAGTATAAATATTGTATAAAACCATTGTTTTAGAATGAGTACGAAGATCCAAGGGAGGAGAGTGTAAGCAGAGAAATGACAAAATGCAGGGAAGAGGATTAATCATGGGCTTGTACAATTTGATGGATGGGGGAGGGAGAGGGAAATTTGGAAGAATCTGGTCTGAAAAATAATGTATACAAATTTTATAAATAAACTAGTATAAATAATAATAAAAATGAAACAGTAGGTTGGTGGCTGGGAGCCATTTACTTAAAACAGGGCCAGAAGGTTGGTCCTTTTGAGTCAGAGTTGGTTGAGGCCTGGTAGGCTCTTATTTAACGCACTTAAAAACCAGAAGGTGGGCCTTTCCGAGTAACAATCTGTTGGGGACTGGTAGCATATTGTTCAGAGCAGTTAGGAACCAGAAGGTGGACCTTTTCAAGAAATAGTTGAGTGGTGGCTAAGAGCCTCTTTTTAAAAGCCATTTAGTACTAATATTTTGGACAAATACTACATAATACTGCAAATACTGTAAAAATAGAAGGATAACTAGTAAAACATGCATCTGAGCTCAATGGGAGACAAGATGGGAGTGGAGAGGTGAGGATGAGCAGGGACATACCACAGGGCTGCACAATTTGGTAATTTGGTGGGTGGAGGGGGGGGCAGAAGGAAATGGGAAGGATCCAGGGGAAAAGACAGGGCCATCATTAGATGGGAGATGTAAAAATATGATAAATTTTTTAAAACATGAGAATGGGTGTATGCAACACAATGTGAATGAATAGTGTGAAACAAAGACATAGGAAATTTGTAAGCAAACGAATAATAATAATAATAATAATACAAGAAATAAATTGGACCTTTTCAAGTAACCATCAAGTTAGAGCCTGAAAGCTAGACCTTTTTTTTTTAAATTATATTTTATTAATTATCATAAACATTTACAGAGATTTTGGGCTT